TTCTCAAGTGATATAATACATAGTAGTCTCTTGACCTGAGGCATGAGTGCAATATCTTATATGTCAGTAAAGATGTATTTAGACTTTTACCTAACCACAGTTCTTATTGAATTGTGCATAACGGTTCTTGTTGGGTACATCCTGAGACATAAGTAGATATTAAGATGCCAAGAAGGGATTCGTCTCTCCCAGTATAGGGGTTGATGTCATAAGATTATTTGATATAACTATAGCCTGGAAATCCTTGGCCAAGGTGAATAAGATAAACTGATTGTTAGTTTGATCTTATAGGTTATGAGTTTAATATAAATAAACACTAATCAAGCTATTAGGGTTTGACAGTTTGCCATACCCTAGGCTCAATAGTTTGACATGGTTTGACAAAGAGACCGAACTGTACGGTATTATCATTGAGTGGTCCTGATAAAATTGGATAAGCATCTTGCAGACCTTTATCACAACTTATACCCGGGTGGTCTTCATGTGTAGCTAGCACCTCTGTTGTACTTATGGATATGATCCACTACTGAGTTTTTTAAGTTGGGCCCTAGAGTCACACCAAGCGCGTACTTGAATCCTATGAAACACAATTTATGGAGTGATGCGTATGATTGATACGCATATATGATTTTTTTCGGATACACATAAACAGTTATGTATATCGGTAAAATCAGAATGCTCTGTGCTTAGGAAATGAATTCCAATATTTTCCCCATAAAGTTAACTTTTTGGTCAACAATTAACTTTTTGGTCAACGGTTGACTTTTGGTCAACTCTTGATTTATTTGGTCATATAGTGACTAATTAGTTAAAGATTGGAATAATACTATATACCGTATTTATGAAATACTGTATTAGTGATAATAATTTGGTATTCTCATTTATGAAATACACATACCATGTATAATGAGTCATGAGATGAGTCACTTAGTGGTATGGTTTGAGCACATGGTTTATTAGCACATGGTTTTGAAATGTAATGATTCATAAGATGATTCATTGCATGACTCACTTGATTCATAGGATGAGTCATTCATGTCATGAACACATTTTACTCTATAAATATGAGCTCTCTCTCTTCATGAAAGGCTAATGAAAATTAAATTTCCATAAGAGAAAGAAAGAGAGCTATACCTCTTACTAAACTTTAGCAATATTTGAGTAAGAGGAAGTAGTAGGATTTTAAGAACTCCGGGGTGGATATCTTACCTCACGTCTCAAGCAGCATCCAATAGCTTTCGGGTTCACTTGAAGAGTTGGAGATCCATTACGAGAAGCTTTCTGCATCAAAGAGAGCAAGCTAAAGGTTGTTCGATTCACTATCGAATCACGCTACAAAAGTATGACTTTTAAACCTTGTATGCTCAGTTAATAATAAAGATCATGTTAGATTTAATTAGACGATCCATATGAATATTTCATGCTCTCTACATGCTTAGTATTTTTTGTACATACATGTCTTCTGCTGTGTATTATGCATGTAGACATAGCACGATTTCCTTCACCCACGCCACAGAAGTGACTCAACATCACCCGCTGACAAGCCTCAACGGCTGCTGATTCCCCATGTCGCTGAAGTGACCCGCCACCACTCATCAATCGATACGAATAGGGCAGAGGATGACTCAGCCTCTAGCTCACCTCTCGCCATCATCATGAGCCACCTCCTCACTATATACCTGTTTTGCCCTTGGTATCCTCTATAAACACAGACGCTATTCATCCTGAAAAGGGGTTCGATCTCTCCCTCACTACCTAAAAAATTCTCTAGTCACATATTAGAAGGAGATACTATTCCTTTATTACTAGACGTAAGTCCACCAACTGACTTGATCGTTGGAGGTACCACGGGGGAAACAAGCCCCGTACTCCCGTGATTCTTGTGTGTGTAGGTGATTCGCCCTCCCGAGCTCTAGGAACCAGGCATAAAGTCGAAGAAGGAAAGCGACCCTCCATCCCTCTCGACGATCTAATCTCTCGATGATCCAGCAACTCTGTAACCCCCATCGACTATTTGTTCACGAGCATCTACAGTTATAGTATTACAACCGTTAATTACAACAGTATAAATAAGACAAGAAATTGTACAATTAAACAAGAATAATTAATAAAAAATATAATTTCTTATATTTAAAATCAAGTAATTATGGAATAATTATCTATATAATAAAACGTACCAGTTATACTAATACGACAGATAATATGCAACAATAGAAATAATACAACAAATAGTACAATTAAACAAGAATAATTAATAAAAAATATGATTACTTTTATTTAAAATCAAATAATTATGGGATAATTATCTATACAATAAAATGTACCAGTTGTGCTAATACAACTGTTGTTACACAATAATAGAAATAATATAACAAATTACATAATAATACGGAATTAATAATACAACATAATACACGAAATAATACGTAATAGTAATAATAATACAACATATTATTTAAACTAATACGTAATAGTACCTATAACACAACAGATTAATTCCAGAAATTTTCATTGCACTAAGTTAATTCATAAATATCAAAATCATTTAAATAAATATAAAACTTGGACTTTTTAAACGTAGAAAATTCTAGAAAATTGAGAAAAATATAAATACTCTTTTAAAAATAATAATTAAATATTTTAAAATACTGAAAAATTATTTTAACTAGTACCGAAAGTTTACGGTCATTACATGATTCAAATCCCTCAATGAAGTGGTGTGACGTGACGGTACCACTTCTCTATGGGTAGATCCGCCCCTGCCCTTGAACCTTACCAACTAAAAAATATGGAAAAATACTAAGCGTACTATCAGAATTGTACTCCTCTTGTACTACTAGACATAAATATGTGGAGTCCATACGAACTCATAATTTCTCTTTATAATTTAGAAAAGATGCCCTACTATTTTGCTCTTGTAGTACAAGAACATTACAACTCTAGAGTAGAGTTACCGCTAGAATTCTTAGGAGAAACGCTCATGTCAACTGCTTAGATGAAATTACTTTCTAATACGTTCTAAATGAATTTAAATGAGATCAACTAGGGAAGAAAGTAATGAGAACTAAATTGGATGTATGCAAGACACAATTTGAAATGATTCCTCTTGCAAATAAATTACCTCTCAAATAGCAATTTTCTCCAAGCAAAAAAAGCCATGATGAAACAGTGAGACAATTATATTGAAATTTCCAACAAGAATCAATCCAACAAACTGAATAAGGCCAAAGGTTTAACAATAAAAGTAAGAACTACAACTTTCCAATACTGATACGTGACAATCTAACAGTCTTTCTACAAAACCATTAAAGTGTAGCAGCCTAGTGGAAAAGTTTACAAGATCAAAGGTCTATAAAGGTAGTCACCATAAAATGGCGAGGTGACCGAACCAGAGGATGATGACGATGACTATGGAGAAGGTGAAGAAGGAAAAAAGTTGTCGCCTACGCTCGATAGCGATATCAATATCCCCGAGCACCTCGACACTCAAGTGGTAGCTGGTGATGATGAAGGCAATGAATACTCTGTCGCTGCCTCTTCCTCCTCAGAGATCTTCGATCTCACTGCCACCTTTAGTTTTCTCGGCCATGGAACCTTAATCAACACGGTATCCCCCATGTGCAACCCACATATTTTTAAAAAAAATCTCCCGTAACTCTTAGTATTAATATTAGAAAACCCCCAAAACTTTCAACATAATTTTAAGAAAACCTCCTTAAACTTTGATAAAGTTTATGAGGACCCCCATGGTGCCGCTGGGGAGTATGGGGTTTTTGGGGTAAGCGCCGATAGTGAGAGGAGCTGAGTGTTAATTATAAAGTTCAGAGAGGTCTCCAAAGAGGCCAAACTTTAGGGGGTTAGGAATTTACACTAATTTAATCTTAGTTAGTTGCATATCAGTCCCTTAAATCATCCGTAATTGCAAATTCAAATCTCAATAATTGTTCATTAGTCCCTCAATTTTGCAGTTTTATTGCAATTTGGTCCCTTTGTTAGAAATATTGTTAGTTTCCTAACTCTACTTGGGTTTAACCTTTAACCTAACATCTGGAATTACCTAACTGCCCCCGGATGTATGTTTCCCTAACTCTGGTTGGGTTAACTCTTAAATGCTACTGTTGGAAGAACTCTGGGTTGGATTCAGGGATAGTTTTTACCGTTAGAGAAAGAGTTGTTAGGTTTGGGTTTTAGATTGAGCATGCTATGGGTATAGACTCGCTAAGTAATGAGTTGGTGAAGTTTTAAAAAAGAGTGTTAGTTATAGACGAGGGTAAAATGGCTAGACCATCATTTTCGTCTAAGTTGATGGAATTTCAACAAAACTAATGTTGCTAAATCAAACTGCATATTTGAGGAATAATAGGCAAAGATTTGAAGGACTAACCCGTAATTATGTATGATGTAAGGAACTAAAATTACCCTCTTAAACTGTGAGGGTTGTTGCACCCTTCATGAACTTTGTTTATCTCATATAACCACAACTAAAGTTTCATTGAGAGGAGGAAAAATTCAAAATTAGGAGAAAGATATATCGCTTGTAAATGACAGAGGGCAAAGTTTAAAAATTTTCCTCCCAAGAAAACTTTAGTTAATTCAAATCATATGTAGTGCAACCGGTGATAAAACTTCAAAATCTCAAGGGGATTTTGTAAGAGCAAAGTTGAGAGGGGTTACGTGAGATAAACAATGTTCAGGGGGTTTTGTGAAATACCCGCCAAAGTTCAGGGGGTCAAGTGAAATTAAAGATCACCAAAACCATACTACGGGTCGGGTCCTAAAATATCCAACCCGAACAACCGACCCAAATAATCATATTTCCTCCCCTCCCTCTTTCTCCAACTCTCGCCTGTCTTTCTCCCCAAGCAGCAACCAGCAACTAAAACCTAGGGCACAAGCCCTAGCTTTATTAAAAAAAAAAACCCCTAAAATCCCCAACACTCCCCAAAAAATTCTCCATGGCTGCAGCGGCCCCAAATCCGGCGA